GGGCATGATCACAGCTATCCTACACGGACTGAAAGAAATGCCAAATGTCGATGACAGGACGGCCTTCTAACATAGATGCGGCAGGTTGCGCGTTACCCAAAACGTCGGCAGCTCCAGCATTTGCAACGGAGTTGGTTCTGGGTTCTCCAGCTGAGCTCTCAGAGTACCGACTACGGCTGCTACAGAACATACCAGTTCTATTTCACCAGGGAGAATGGACACTAAGTCTTGTGCGGTCACCACTCCAACTGCCGTCTTTTCTCCCGGACACGGAAACATGCGGGCTATTCCATGCGAGTGCTCAGGATCACAAACCTCATCACCTGTGGCTTCCACAGAAGCACGATCAGAAATAAAACGTTTCCGGCGCTTTCGCTTGCCATACGAGGGCTTTTTGCGACTCGTAGCTTCACGGCCGGCGGAAACACGAAACACGCGATCCGATCCAGCAGCGACAAATCCGATAGGGAGAGCAACGCTCAACACACATACGGACAGGCAGACTGAAAGCATATGAAAGCAAGGAAGAACACCGATAACTACGTCACGACTTTGGACGGACGGATCGGAACGGATGTACAGCGAGCATCACCTCCTGCAATAAAATATACAAAAAAAAAAAAAAAAATAAAGAAAGCAAAGCTCCGACACACTGCTTTTTTATTTTGCAGTAATTAAGAAACGGATAAACTTACATCAAATACTTTTATATGCCAATCGATCCTGCATGAAAATTCGAAAGGGTTAATCGAAAAATTTGACGTACTCCTTATTCAATGAATCTCGTAAAGTGCCTTCGAACGCGAAGTGTCAAAATAGCTGATTTTGCACAATTTTACGATTTGTGTAAGAATATAATTAAAAATGAGGTTAGAAATTTGTGATACTTAAACCCTCATAAAGTGTCAATGTCTTCAGAGAAAAAAAAATACAGAAAAATTCATAGGGTGGTTATCACGTGAAAATGCTTTTAAAACGGTGAACAACTGCATGTATTCTCCATGGGGCTTGAAGGTGCGTTCCCTCCTAATTTGGCGATGAAACTTGACGTCATTCAACATGCTATTTTATTGATGATCAGGCATTGAATCGAAGCATTATTGTGAAGTGCCTGGGGAATTACTTTGACTAACACTCTTTTTGAATATTTAGCTATAAGCAAGGAAAGCAACATATTAAGATTATAAGATATTAAATCATCGTATTAAATTTAATATTCACGATTATTACAAAAACTAGTCGTATGTTATATTTCCGTAGTGGTAACCTGCGTAATTGTCCAAAAAATTGGATCAAACAACGTGTTTGGTGAGACCAGCACCCGAATACACGTGCGTTTTGTGAGCTCACACCACCACCCGTATCTTGTAGATTATACGAGAAAAAAGTGTTGAGCCATTCCACTCTGTGAAGGTGGGTGATCAGCGAAGCTGTTAAAGGGATACTGAACCGAAATTTGAATTTCGCAAAATAAGGCTCTAGAAGCGTTGAACGGGACTTTACGAACTCCGAAACATTGCTCGTACATCGATATCTCAAACGGATGGCCGCACTTTTTGAAAAGAAGGGCGCCATCAAGCGAGGCCTCTGACATCACTGTCCTCCGGGAGAACTTGAGAGTGAGGGGGAGCGGCCTCGCTTCTCTCCTCCTCGCTTCGGTTCACCAGCTCGACACGGGACGTAGTGAGGAGGAGAGGGAATAAGAATCGTGATGTGCCTTGCCTTGTCGGCCTCGTCGGCCGGGTTCAGTCGGGCGCTTCTTTTCTAAAAATATGGCGATCCGTTTGAGATATCGCTGTATGAGAGATGTTTTTGGGTTTTGCACCGTCCCGCCTATCTGTCCAGCCTTGTTTTGTGAGTTCGAAATTTCGGTTCAGTATCCCTTTTTAAGCACACAACACAGATGCGACACAGCATTTTGAACGAAGGTACGAACACGGTTATTGTTTAATCGGTGATAATCGTGACGAACACCACGCACAGACATGTCGAGGACTATCGCCGCTCCAAGAAGCCGGAAGAAACTAGACACGCGTGACGGGACCGCCACCCGGCGGAAGTAAAGGAGATTAGGCACGTAAGCGCTTGGGTCTACGGCAAAGAGAGGGCGGTGCGCTTTCCTGCTCCTCCTTTTCTCCCCCTCTCTTTCTGCCCCTGAATTTGTTCTTGGGTGACGTGACACGAAGCTGTGACGTCTTCTTCCCCGCTATATTTAATGGGGAAACTGAATTGGCTGTGAGGTCACTTGACGTAAATTTCCCCGCTAAATTTAGCGGAAAAATTTCTATGCCAAATTCAGTGGTAAAGTTTCCCCGCTAAATTTAGTAAGAAAATTTCTCCACCGAATTTAGCGGTAAAGTTTCCCCGCTAAATTTAGGGAGCAATTTGACGTCACGTGACACAAAGTCATGACGTCATTTTCCCGCTAAATTTAGCGGGAAAACTAAATTGGTGTTGAGGTCACGTGGCGTTAATTTTCCCGCTCAATTTAGCGGGGAAATTGACGTCACATGACACGAAGTCGTGAAGTCATTTTCTCCGTCAAATTTAGCGGGGAAATTTCTCCGCTACATGGGGGGGGGACAGTTTCCCGCTAAATATAGCGGGGAAACAGGATTGGTGTTGAGGTCACGTGGCGTCTATTTCCCCGCTAAATTTAGCGGAGAAATTGATGTCACATGACATCACGAGGTCGTGACGTCATTTTTATTGCCACACACGAAAACCCGTGGGACCTTAGCCATAAACAGCTTCGCTGTAAAACATTATTTTGCAACCCTCTTGTTTTGCATTTGAAAAAATAAAAATAAAAGAAAGGCCTGCGTGGCAGATATAAAACGAATATTTTTTTATGAAAACCTCCAACGTTAAGGCGAGAAAACCTGCGCTCGACGTTTTCCTCTATATTTAATAAAACCAACATGAATCAACAAAAATCTATATATATAATTAGCAAGCTTTCTTTTAGATTGCGTAGATTCTTGAAAAGAAGAGAAGACTTGCAACGTGATATCTTTTGAAGCAATGTTCTTAGTAGTCATCTCAGATCGACCGCACTGATGACTAAGTCAGTAGACGTCGCACTTCAGCTCCGGATTCATTGGCGATCCAAGGGGGCAGTTGAAAGCTTCTGCGAACCGTTCGAAGTTCATAAGCGGAAGATTTGTTCTGAAAGGTCAAAGAAAGAGAAAAGTACGCTGTAGGCCGAAATTTATCTTCGAATGATATCGACATAAATTAAACTATCTAGTGTGATTCTGCACTACTACCGAATACTCAAAGCTAAGTATGAGATCTATACTCCGTTTACCCTTACGATGGACTGCCGCGGACGCTACCGTCCATCCCGGCCAATCGAGACCTGGGAAAGTATCACGTGATCACGCGTTAAGTGCGTCGCTGCTCTCGTCCCGTAGGCAACTCGGCACTCACACGGATTTAGATTGGCTTCGATGGGTCGTAGAGTTGGCTGTGGTTCATCGTATCGTGAAACGGAATAAAGCGCTGCAATAAATAAGGACGGAGGCGTATTTCTTTATATATATCTTTTTCTCGAATATTTACGATAAATATAATTAGTTCATTTTGATACGATATATCAGCGACCTCTACCTCAATTTTCAAGAAACTTTTTTTCTTGGTATCCCTATATGACGGAGCGAATTAAACCAAAATATGCAAACGGCATTCGTCCAACACTCGCTTCCTTCCGACTCATTCGTGATTTGGAGTTTAGAAACAAGAATAATACCTTTTTTTAATGAGGCTTCTTTTTTTTTTTTTTGACATTCCGAAAGTGCGAGACAATGAGTATCTAAGTACTGAATCGTGAAGCACCGAATTTCATACGGCACTTGATAGACCGAGTACAATATTGATCCTACATAAAATTGTACCGTACTACGAGACAGGAGACGAAGTGAAACCTCCACAATTAATGTTTCCAGACAAATCGATCCCCAATCTTAAGAATATTTACGTGCGCGGCCTCGAGCAGTTGCTCGTTCTTAACCTTACCCAATGAATATTGGCTTGAACACCGAAAATACGCCATGGAAGCGCTCTAGGCCATATCTACGTTTCACAATTTATATACCTAAATGGTAGAAGGAGCCCCGAAAACATGGTATTTAATATTTTTGTTTACGTGTGGATTGCCAAGATATTTACTCTTACAAACACCGGACACCCAGCCGTTCTACCTACGCAAAATCCGTCGGCGCCAAGGCCACTTGAATATTGCGGAGTAAGGAATGTTCCCTAGTAAATATTTGGTCAACCCATGGACTCCAATAAAGCCCTACTTCTCGTACTCACGAAGAAATTTTATCTTGATCAATCAGATAAACCCGTTGAGCACACGTCGTGTGTGCAACGCAGCCAAAACCACAAAAAGCTCCCCCAAAACCAAATATAGCTAAGCAGATCCCACGAATAACGCAGGCATAAAATTCGAACGTCACATTCCCATGTTCCCCTGGTTTATCAAAATAATGCCGACAAGTTTATTTATTTACTGGTGGAAGTCGGATGTTTATTTTTGACGATCAGAGAAAAGGTTACATAATTATGATCTTCAGAAAGCACAGGGTTGCAAGAAAAACATCGCCTTTCTAGTAAACTTATTGGCCTTGAGCGATATTTAAATACAAATAAACAAATATTCTGTACCAGTTCTTCTTAAGAATGTCGCGAAACATTCATTAATTTATCGCGTTTAAAACCCAAGTTAAATAAGAAGCACTATGAAACTATCTCCTCACCTGTAATGATTTGGAATACGGTGGCTTGCGTGAAGGAAAAAATAAAGGGAGCGTCGGCGTACTTTCTCGCACATTGTCTGTATAGGACGAAAACACGGGGTCAGGATCTGTGAGACCTATCATTTCATGGTATAACAAAATGTTCCTGCCTAGGTTTTTGTTTTCGAAACTTCGCTAGCTTTTTGTTTTACACAGTGATAATCGTTATGATTATAAAACGGTCCCATATTTACTCACCATAGCGTATGATATAAAAAATATTTGGTCTTGAGTGTACCAATCGAGGCCTTCGATGATTATGGTCTTGTATAATTCTTCGTACTTGGTCATGTAAACCCTGTAGGCCTACGGAGCGAAATGGGATTTAGTGATTTGTTTGACAAACAATTTTCAACTGGGTGTGATTAATTGTTTTTGTTTTTTACATTATTTGTTTCGCGGGTTCACCTTGTAAGGAACAGAGTTAAACGTGTGGTACCTGGCAATTCTAATAGGCCGCTTTATTATTTTGACAAATAATCAGTATGACCAGCTTCCATTCAGTACATATATTATTTAAAGTCTCAACCAAACGCCCGGTGTTTCATTTGGTTCAGAACGTTACCTATTTAGACTTTTCGCAGACACCATAGCTATAAAAACCATAACGAGATGTGCATAAGTTTCAATGCAATACATGCACCATTGCACTTCATTTAATAGGCCCTCGATCGCTCAGATAAATTGTTAGGTATAATATGTCTTGTACCTTTGGGAGCTTCAAGAGTATATGAATTTAAAAAAACCCACTTTCGCTCAAAAAAAAACAAAAAACAAAAAAAAAACGCATCTCCACGTGGTGAATGATGTTGATTGGGGCAATGCTCTGCACTCTAAAAAAAAACAACCCGTGCGTCCACTTTCCCGCACAACACTCGGAGAGCCAATCCCTGCAACTTAGAGAGGCGGCTCAGCGAATGACGATGCCGAAACATATGTTTAGACCAAAAAACACAGTCTGAGTTGTGACTTTAAGCAATGCAAAACGTCACGCTTGCATTGCTTAATGTCACAACGCAGACTGCGTTTTTTGGTCTAAACATATGTTTCGGCATTGTCATTCGCTGAGCTGCCTCCGTAAGTTGTTGTGATTGGCTCTCCGAGGGTTGTGCGGGAAAACAGACCCACGGGCTTTTTTTTAGAGTGTGGTGGTGCTTGTCTGCGTAGACGCTGAGCCGCAGCATGCCGAGCCTTTCGTTCGTTTTCATTCATGTCACGCTGCGGTAAAATGCTCAAATTCGTATATAACCACGTTTCATACCACACATTTTCTTTCTGACATGGATGAAAACGAACGAAAGGCTGCGGCTCACCGTCTACGCAGACAAGCACCACCAGAGCTTCACCCCAATCAACATGATTCACCACGTGGAGATACAGTGTACTAGTAGTGGAGATGCGGTTCTTTTTTTTTTTGCCCTTCACGAGCACAGGAGCACGTGCTCATGTGCTCCTGAGCACGTGAGCTCACGAGCAGGAGCGCGTGCACCCGACGGCGGACGGACATACGGACATGGCTAGCCCCTAAAAGGCTTCGCCCCTAATAGTTAGGTATAACATATATTGTGTTCGTGGGGTCGGTATATCGCTAAAGAGGTATTGTATGCAATGATTCTTAAATATACCAGAATCAAGAACAATACCGGAATATAAAATCTAAACGTGTGATGATATAATAGAGCTGGCTTGTAATACATGACCCTGTGAGAACTCCGAATTATATCATGCATTAACCCAACCGTAGTGGCGCTAAAATTACTCAAATGAAGGTTTGAGATGATCACGTTTCATCGCCCCTTTTTGCCATTAAAAATACCAAAAAAAAAAGAGAAAACGTATCGGTTGAAGAATTGCGCCTGATAGTCACTATAATCTGCGGATGTAGGTAGTTGCACTGTTCAAAATCGCGAAAAAAGTAAATATACTTTGTATGCAAATTGATTGCAAATTAAACGAGAGACAGAGCAATGTTTTTGGGTCGCAAATTAAACGAGAGACAGAGCTGTCGGTTTTTGGGTCGTCACCGGAGTCTCGGGTAATCTTAAAATTATGAACCTACACCAGTTCACTTGCGCCAGCAAGTCTTATTCGTTAGACGTCGTTATTTGTAACGTGCGAGATTTACCATACGATTCGTATGGAATCAAAGCCCGGATTGCGTTACCTGTGACCGATTGCCTTTGATTGGCACCATAAGAAATAGATAAAAAAAAAAGCGCCAGCAGCAGGACGAAGCATAACTACCGGGACTCTGCGTTAGCGAGCTATATTTAGTTTCACCTTGAAACTCAGCCGATACTACGACCTAATCAGGCCAATCAAACAGTGTCAAAAGCGCAAGTCACTTGATTTTTTATATTTATGTTTGGTACTGCGATGACAAAACACGCAATGAAACATCACAAAGGGAATGTGAAAATCTATTTCAGTTAGTTCCACACTCAGGATTGTCTGTGGGTGTACTAAACGCAACCACATCGGTGAAACGGTAATTTTTTAAGAACACCTGTAGTATGCTGGTAAATGGTTGACATTTTTTGCGGCTTTACCTTTCTTCTAAAGTAGTAAGGTTCAATGTGAATTTTTAGATAATCGCAAGTACTGTAGATAAGAAATACCCATAAATGGAATGGAAGGCGGGAGGGGGGGGGGGGGTCTTTGGGGCTTGCGATCTTTTGTTAAATAACCAGTTTGTAACCGCGGGTTTTCCCGCGGTCACAGACTACGGGAAAACCCGCATTCTGCGACCTAAGGATTTTCACCTGCCAGGACACCCGTCCTTTTGGATATGTTGGCAAGGATATTCTCCTACTCAATGACTGACACAAATAAAACTGAGCTCAACTAATTAGCATCATTTCAAATAAATACAAAGACAAAAAAATAACCCACAATAAAAAAAATGCTTTTACGCTGATGTCCAGGTAGTAAATGTAGTAAATGGGCGTCGCAGGTAGTAAATGTAGTAAATGGGCGTCGCTTGTAGTAAATGGACGTCGCTGGTATCGGTGACGAAATCGTCACCGATACCAGCGACGCCCATTTACTACAAGAGGACAGGCACGACATCGCCGTACCATTTGGCAGCGGGAGCAGCGTGTCGACGCAGGCTAAACATTTCAACCGCAAACTTGCAGGCGCTGACGGGGAGATTTCAACTGGAAAGACGTACGATCGGGAACGCTGCCAATTGTCACCAGCAAGGAAATCGGCCGCAAGCAGCAACAGCCCTCGTCATAAGCACGTGCCGAAATCGTCACCGATACCAGCGACGCCCATTTACTACAAGAGGACAGGCACGACATCGCCGGACCATTTGGCAGCGGCAGCAGCGTGTCGACGCAGGCTAAACATTTCAACCGCAAACTTGCAGGTTAGTTTTTGACACCATTTGTAACCACTCTTGATTTTACAACGCTGCCGCTGCTGCCTTCACTTGTGTTTATGCCCTTGTTTATTTGTATGCGACTTGCTTAAGCATGAGCGGTAATGAAAGTGATGTTTGCCCACGGTGTAACAACAATTGTAGCGATGGGGGAGCCTTGTCTTGTGGGGCGTGTGACTACTTCTACCATTTTGGCGATTGCTCAGGAGTCGCGGAATCTACTTTCAAGACGAAAGGAGAGTCATGGAGGAAGGCGTGGAACTGTCCGACATGCAGGGCAGTGAAGGCAAGGGGTAGCCAGAGTGGTAGATCGAAGAAAGAGTCAGATGATAACGTTGCAAGCATACTTGTAGGTATCAACGAAAAACTAGAAAAGCTAATGACGCTCAAGAACACTGTAGAAAGTATTGAGCAATCTGTACAATTAATGTCGGACCAATACGACGAACTTCTCGTCCACGTGCGTCATCAGGACAAGGAGATAAGCCAAATAAAAAAAGAGTTGATGCTCTTGAAAGGCGAGAACAATCCGGTGGGGCCCACCAGCTTATGCAGGACGTTAATGAGCTTGAATGGCAGAGCAGAAAATTAAATCTCGAGTTTCATGGAATTCCCGTATCTGAAAATGAAGACCTTCTCTCGAAGGTCAATGACGTGGCCTCAAAAATAAATGTTCCGGAACTTAGCGTGACTGACGTTGTTTCGATACACAGGCTGCCTGCAGCCAGAGATAAGGTGCCGGGTATCATTGTTCGTTTTGCAAGGCAATCAGTGAAAGATGCATTTCTTGCAAAGAAAAGTGAACTGAACAGGTTGAAGATTTATTGCTTTATTCTGGAAAATTTAACAAAGCGAAACAAAGTTCTACTCACGGCAACCAAGGACTGGGCTCGAAATCATGATTACAAATATGTCTGGCACAAGAATGGAAGGATATACATTCGACAGAAAGACGGAGAAAGAGCCATCATTGTGCAAAGTGAAAGTGACCTGGATGAGATTGTGTAAATTCTGCTGACACCTGTCAGTATATTAGTTAAACCCCGATCATGGTAACTCCGGTTTACATTGTGCCATCAGATTTTGAGAGTGTATGTGGAAGAGAATATGCTGAATCATTAAAATTCTTTCACATAAATACACAATCCGTGAAAAACAAGATAACCGAGCTTGAAGTGCTTTTTAGTGAATTCAAGTTGTCGTTCGACGTGATTATGTTAACCGAGACTTGGTATGTCGAAGATAATCATATGTTTAATCTACCGTTATACAACAATTTTGTTCTAAATCGAACCTCCGGTCGGGGCGGTGGTGTGTCTTTGATGGTAAAACAGAATTTTTCATGCGAAATACTGTCTAATTACTCGTGTGTAAACCAAGATTATGAAATTCTGTCTTTGTGCATAAATCGAAATGTGGTAGCCGTTGTGTATCGGCCTCCACAAGGGAAACTTCAAACCTTTTTTGATTTTCTTGAGTCAATTTTGAGTTTTGCAAATGAAAATAAATACAACATGATTATGGGCGGCGATTTTAATATTAACATGCTTGCAGACACCCCTGCAAAAAGAAACCTGGAACAGCTTTTACAACAATTTGGATGTGTGAACGTGATCCCCTCACCTACCCGAATTACTCCTACATGCTCTACATTACTTGATTTGTTTATAACTAACCTACACACGTCTCATTTTTTGGCAGGAGTAATAAGTACAGACATAAGCGACCACCATGGTATCTATTTTTGTTTAAGAAAAAACACGTTGAACGGGAAAGGAGCTGAGTCAGTATATTTTCAAGATATTTCATTGAACAACTTAAACACCTTCAGGCAAAAAGTGCTCTCCCTTGATTGGAGTGACATATTTCAAGAAACAGACGCAGATCGTGCTTATAATATATTTTTAGCTAAGTTTCAAAAACTGTATAGTGAATGCTTTCCCTATAGGCTCTCCGGTTGTCAAAAAAAATCCGGAAACCTTGGATCACCCCAGAGTTGCTGGACAAAATTCAAGTGAAATATAGATTATATGAAAAGTTCTTGAAAACGCGTGATCGTGATTTCCTCAAAACGTTCAAACAATATCGCAACAAGCTAACAAAAGAGATTAGAAGTGCAAAAGCAAACTATTTTGGCGACATTTTCTCCAAGTGCGCAAATAAGGCGGATGCAACGTGGAGAAAATTGAACACAGTACTGAATCGCTCGTGTAAACCAAAACCAATCGCGAAAATTTGTCTTAACAATCAAGAATTGAGGGGAAGCTGCTTAGCTAATGAATTTAATAACTTCTTTGTCAACCTCGACAGAGGCAATTTTGACAGTGATGCTTTAAATTATATGTCAGGACCAAATAATAAGTCTTTTTTCCTAAGCCCTGTAATAGAAACTGAAGTGACATCTGTATTTCTAGGACTAAATAACAGTGGAAGCTGCGATGCAGATGGTATCAAAATTAAGCCCGTAAAGTATGTTTTAGATTTAATATCGCCATATCTAGCTTATATTTTTAACCTTTGCCTACTTGAAGGCGTATTTCCTAAAAAAATGCAAATAGCAAGAGTCACCGTCTTGTATAAAAAAGGGAACAAAAACGATATGGGGAACTATCGGCCTATATCAATATTGCCTGTTTTTTCGAAGGGACTAGAAAAGATTATTTTATCTAGAATGTCTAATTTCTGCGATAAGCATTCTATACTGAATGACGCGCAATTCGGGTTCAGAAAACATCGGTCAACAGAACTCGCCCTTTTAGAACAGAAAGAATTCATCCTAAATTGTTTTGAAAACAAAACATTATCACTTGCAATTTTTGTCGATTTTACAAAAGCCTTCGATTATTTGAATCATGACTTACTATTAAAAAAGCTGGAAATTTATGGTTTTCGTGGAAACGGTTTAGCGCTGTTAACATCGTATCTAGGGAGTCGAAAGCAATTTGTACAACTTGATGGTCACTCCTCCGATATAAAACCAATTTTATCAGGTGTACCGCAAGGGAGTATCCTGGGTCCGTTTTTATTTAACATACACTTGAACGATATAGTAAACATCGATAACGTCGCAAAATTTGTTATTTTTGCAGATGATACTACATTGTTGTTTTCCGTAAAAAGTCCCTCTGAACTAATTTCCCGAGCAAATGCTACCCTTGTAAAATTGGAAAGATGGACTCTGAGTAACGCGCTAAAAATAAATACAAGTAAAACTAAAGCTGTCCTATTTCGCCCAAAAAACAAAAATATACGCGTTTATGAAGATATTAATTTGTTTGATTCAAAAATAGAATTAGTCAGCGCCTTCAAAACCCTTGGAGTAGTTTTTACGGAACGCATGACTTGGGAAGAACATACAAATTACGTCGTATCAAAATTATCGAGTATCATAGGTTTAACTTATATTCATCGCAAAATTTTACCTACTAGAGTGAAACTTCTCGTACATAACACATTATTTTATTCGCATATAAATTATTGTCATCTAGTATGGGGAAACACGACCCTCCAAAATTTGCAGAAGGTTTATTTACTGCAGAAGAAAATGCTAAGAAATATCGATAACGTTCCGTATGATCACCCTTCTGCACCGCTTTTTCAAAAACATGGCATAGTGAACATTCATAATATGTATGCATTTCGTTTAAGTATAACCTATAAACAGGAAGCAAAAAACAACATGAATTTTCTTACTCAGTTAGCTTGTTTATGTAAAAAAACAATCACATATCCCACACGTAGCATCGACATATGGAACATTTATGCGTGTAAAACGAGTTATGGAGAACAAATGATGCAACGCAAACTCCCAAAATTGCTCAATTTCTGTAATAATTGCGACATACAACTAGAATCTACATCAAAAAAAGATCTGAAGTTTTTCTTTTCTAACACGAGTGTGAAGTTGTGAGTATCGCAATGTTATGGTTGTGAAATGTTTAAAGGGCTACTCCACCGATTTTTTCATTGTCTCCGATTTGCTTGAAATTTTCCTAAACTAACCAACAAACATCGCGAAAATAGTATCCCAAATATTAGGTCAAAATATTGTTTTTTCGCGAAGTTATTGAATTTACAGTTTTGGTCCTCACCGTGTTTTTCAAGCTCGAAGTCTCTACTGGCAACAATGAAAAAGTGACGTCAGTGGAAGGCAGTGGTTCACTCTTTGGGTTGTAGATTTCGTTTTAAACTGATTCGAAGCAGTTTCATGGTGTCAAATGAATGCTTGGGAAGCTCGCTGCAGTACCCGCGCTCCAGCACGGAACAAATGATTGGCATATTCTATTTTTTGGCTGCTTGCTCGACTGGCAAGCCTGCCTGCCACTGACGTCACGGCCCTGAAAAGCGCGCGTATATTTGAATGTTGGTTTTTGCATCATTTTCATTTGCCGATTTCGCAATAACTATTATGAATTTCGCGATTCTAAATAGCATACCGGAGAGAGTAAAGGCCGGGGAGTCAGAAAATATAGTTAGTTGAGGTAGCTCAAAAAATCGGTGGATTACCCCTTTAAAGAGAATCTCATAAAAAAAAGAAAAAAAAAAGATTGTTGGTATGATTTATACAAAGTGTTTCTGCGCGATGTGCTGTACTGGCTGCTTTATTTTTATTTTCTACATTGTATAATTTCTGGGGAGGAGGGAGCTCGTCAAGCTGATTCATTCAGCTTTTTTTCCCCAACCTCCCACATCGCCCGGATGAAAAATAAAGGCATTATTATTATTATTATTATTATTTGGTGTCTGCACCTAAAGTTATGAGAGGCTTTGTTCAAGTCTTAGTTTCCAGCTTTATAACATAAAAGTAATATGCGAATCATGCGTAGAGTGTGTGAACTGCATCTTATATTAGCCCGCGTAACTGTTTTAGCGGTAAAAATCTAAAACATAAAAAAGCGTACCTTATATGCCGATTTTAGCGCTGCATTGTCAGAAACCAGTGTATCTTCATGAATGGAGCCATTGATCTGATGATAGCAGAGATACACGTGCATGAGTTTCATTACAAAATATAAACTTTGCATCAAACAAAATATAAATAGGGCGTGCAGCCATAAAATATTAAACACTATAAACTCTTGCTAGTGTTTTGTTCAGTAGGGCCGGTTGCTCAGGGGCACAACCTTCCTGCTCCTTGAAATATAAGTCAATTTTAGCTGAAATACTGTTCATAAAGCCTCCTATACTCTTAACTTGTCTAATAATTTCATATAATTTTTTCTTCGAACAATTCACATAAATATTCGGTGTTTTAATGTTCGCAATGTTTCAGTGCAACCCATAAAATGCTGCGTTCCAGAATATTAACGACAGACCGGGTTGAACGCAGTATTTATTTAATACATCTTTGAGAACCTTTTTTATGTTTTAAAATTTTGTAATAATTATTTTGAAAAAAAAGAGAAAAACTGTGCGTGTCTCCCTAATGTTTTTATAGACACAAAGAGAAAACAGAAGCTTTCCCCTGCCCCAGCAGCATTCTTTGCTGGTGAACCTAATGAAAACACGTCCGATACGTTGGCGTTAGTACACTACATACAGTGTTTGACGTAGGACTGGGAATAGTGTAAACCGTCGGGGTAATTTTCTAGACTGTGGAAGTGTAGGATACTGAATTGATAATTAGGTTGAAAAAATCTAAACGCGATTGAACAATTCAGCTCAAAAGGTACTCTCGCGTACTCTGTTAGCTGTAACACGCGAGCGGGCGCCGTCCCGTACCCCAAGCGCCGCGTAGCAGGTGCAATCCGGAACTCCACGCAAGCGCCGAGTGACGGACTGGCTTTTCCCGTCTGCGAGCACACCCTCGCTTTGTCGTCTGCTAGGCGCAGAGCAGACTACGCCACTGCGCTTGCCAATGTTCGCCGAACACGGTTTCGTGTTCCGCAAATCAACGTGTAAGAGGCGCCCACGGTTTCGTGGGTACCTCTTACGAGCTGATGGATTCCCTGACTCACGGATATGTGTCTGCCGGGTTGAGGATGATCATCGCCAAACTTGCAGTTTACGGTCTATGTCTGCATCACACCTGTTGCTCTCACGCTGGTGGTTCGCGAACGCGTATTGTTGAAGCATGCATTGTGCACGCTTGTCTCTGGAAAAGCGAAAGAAAAGAAAAAAGAAACGTGGCCAGGGTTTATGTTACCATGGCTTTGCAATCTGTCGCGATAAACGTCACCTGTCTAGAATGAGTTCGAGACCAGTTTGCTATGGCGAGAATATCAGACGAACACGGACTGCTGATAGTCGATCCGTGCCTAAAAGAGCGCCCACGAAAGCGTGTTCAGCGCAACTTGGCATGCGTGTGACGTCGTCTGCTCTGAGCAGACAACAACCTGAGGGTGCACTTGCAGGCGGGAAGAGTGAGTCCGCCAGTAGCCGCATGCGCGGAGTTTCTGAGGTTTCTGACGGCGCCTGCTATGCAGCGCTGGGGGGTAGGGGATGGCCACCGCTGGCGTGTTACAGCTACCGAGGTCCACGATGGAACATATCAACTAGAGTTGTCACTAGAAAAACTAAAAATAACTAATATGCGGCGAGTCGCTGCGGACATCGCGGTGGTCATCTTTAGAATCGAAGTTAATCATTTTAACACTCTAGGCTTCACTCACAAACAAGAAATTGCTTTGAATAATTCATTCAAGCAGACTTTTTTTCACTCGAAAGAAAAGTAGGTTTAGTCCATAAAACGTAATTATTTTCTTTATTGCTGAAAGCTCTCGATTGAGGTAAAAACTTTCGTATATATTGCCAGACACCAAAGGCTACAATTAGAACCTGGGACACTGAGAAATAAAACAACGAACACGCTATTTTTTAACCCCTGTAAACTTTCACTCCTTGCAATATTTACACTCATTTCACCCCTAAGCTGAGATTGGGGTGGAGGCTAGGAGTACTCAAGCAGCACGGAATTTGGCCAAGCGTTGGCCAATTACTTTCGATGGTCTCTTGGCCAATGACCAAAGAGTGGCCATTGATCGGCCAATGATTGGCAAATGGCTGATGGCCAATGATCAGAGAGAGGCCATTCATCAGCGAATGGTTGGCCAATGTTTGGTCACTGACCAAAGGACCATTTCCAGCTATTGGTCAATGATTGGCCAATAATGGGCCAAATCTGTGCTGCTCGGGACGATAAAGCAGTTATACCTGGATCCTTGGCCCCATGATCCCGTTCTGGTCCACATCCTCGCGATGAGAGCTGGTTCAGGGAACGGAAGGGTGGCTGTTGATTGGATTGCCGAGAGCGTATGGCTCCCACCGCATTCTCAGCTTAGCGGTGAAAGGATTATAGTCCGCCGTTTGTTCGGAAGTACCCCACCTCGCGTTTCGAGGCCGACTTTTACAAATCGCCGAAAGTGGGGTCAAATGTCTGTTCAACCGTATCACCGGGTGTGTGTGTTTTATTCTTGTTTCTCTTAAACGTTTCAAAAGAACGTAACTAAAGACGCTCACTTCCTCTCCTGTAAAAGGGTTGGTGAACCACTGGATCTGGCTGCTGAAGCAGCGAGTCTCCTGCCGATAATTTCTCCGTGTTGAGGGGCTCCACCAGTCGTCCACCTCTCCCTTGGAGTTGTACAACGAGCCTAAGGATACACGAGACACACATAAATGTACTTGTTTTTGTGCTGGGAAAATACGCGCGGAAAGGGTAATTTACTGTATTCACGAGGTAAACGCTAGTGGCGCCATTGTGTTTATTATTTTACTTATTCAAATAACTTTGTAGCCCTGCGTATTTCAGAAAAGAGTGGAAACAACAAGATATAACACTAATAAACGTGATACAGTAATTGTGTACATTGTTCATAGAGGCTCAAAACAGAGAAAGGTTTTAAAAGAACGTATAAGAGTCGATTGTTAGCGACCAATGCAATGAAAGCTGCAAGGTGGTTTCAATTCCAAAAAGTTTCAGAGAGGGATCGTAAAATGGTCAAATGCAACACAAGCGGTCATTTTTGCGGTGGTAAGAGAGGTTGGAAAAGAAGTAGAGGGAGTGGGGTACCGTGCCCTAGTGAAAAAAAGTCATTTGTATCAGAAATTTCTTGTGTCCAATAAACACATATGAATCATACGAGATATACAAGAACATATAAGAACCATATAAGAACTATATAAGAACTGTATAAGGTAGATAAGAACCATATATGAAACTTATAAGAAACTTCTCACAAGTTTCTTATATGGCGCTTGTATGTTAATCTATCTCTTATATAGTTCTTATATAGTTTTTAAATGGTTCTTATATGTTCTTATATACCTTGTATGATTCATATGTGTTTATTGCACTCAGAAATGTCTCATACAAATGAGAATTTGCAATAGGGTGATGGATATCTTGGTCACTATTTGCAGCTGATGTTTATAACAGCGTCACTGAGAGCTTAAACGGACCACGAAGTTGATTTTGAAGTTCAATTTAACGATTGAAATAGATGTCAGGTGTCTTTTACACTTTGAGAAAAAAGGCGTATATTGTTACACCCTTTGCCCCATATAAGCAATACCACCTAGAACACAAGGCCTGCGCGTTTCCTCCTCTAAACGTCATCACTAGTAGATCCCCTCAGCGCCCCCTAGCTAGCCCGGATGAGCAACATCGTCTGCTCCATCGTCTGCTCCATCGCCTGCTTCAGTGGTTTGTGTAACTGATAATGAAACAGATGCTCACGCCGAGTGTCTGTTGCAAATAGCATACGATGAAGTTAGACGTTCACGTGGAGCGTCAAATGCATTAGCGAAATTTCCTTACTGCTGCGCGAAGGGCTGAAAAGCCCTTCGTTGGACGCTGGACGCTGACACTGGACGCCATTTTCGAGGGAGCTGCTTCGAAGCGTTCTACCGCAGAACGAGCGCGCGCGCTAGAAATGCGCTTCTCAAAGCCAGGAGCGCGTGCTAGCTGGCGCTCCTGGCCGAGGGAGCGTTCGCGCGCACGTCGCAAATGCACTGGAAGTTCGCTATCAGCTCGCGCTCAGCAGTCACGCACACAGCTGCGGCCGCAAGTGAATGCGACGTAGTTGCGACGCGGCCCCTACTCTCGTCAAGCTTCGGGCTGTTTGCCGCTTGGGGCGGGTCGGGGATCTACTAACGAAACGTCATGCGCAGGCCTTGTCTTCTAGGTGGTATTGATATAAGACACCCCAAAAACGTAAGATCGACGTGCAGGGCACTGACGTCTAAGCGACAGTACCACATTTTACCAGCGGCTTGATAGCCCAGTGGTAAAAACTTGTTAAAGTAGAATGTGCGTGTTACTGAATACACAACACAAATCGGGGTTTTCTTGACCTGACGGCGAAACCTCGGTATTTTATTTCTGTAGTAATTGATACGTATTTTATCTATTTAATAAGTTATGTCGCACCTTCATCAAGCCCCCTCAGAAGTTGGGGCCATCTGGTCGACGTCAGTGCGATGTCCGTCGAACTGAAATTTTGGGGTGCATTGTGTTAGACAAAAGGATGTAAGACGGCACCCTTTGTTTTAGAGTGTAGGTAGTGTTGATGGCGTTTTAGTCTGAAGTGGCGCTTGCGCGCCGCACAGATTCATTTAACAGATCCAGCAACAGTCGCACCGGCACCAATGATGCCGGCGTCCGAAGCTGCAAAAAGATACAGCTTTTGAGTCATGTGATTTGAGACATCAATTGAGGTTTATCAGGCGATTGGTTGAAGTGCATGGACTCCGGTCGTCTTCGTTGCTGGTCGTGAGTCGTTAAAAAAATGCGTTTCATTTTGAAATAAAACACATCGAAAATACGTATTTTTGCAGAAAAGGTTTACCGCACTAAAAATTAAATACTATTGCAGTCTGCTGACGCGTGGACTGAAATAGCCGAGCGCTTTCCACAAGTAAGTATAGGGCAAGGACAGATTTGAAAAGCGTTTAACCTGACTAAAATATAAATGTTATTTTTCTTATGAGAAAAGCAAAAATGGCTTAGCGTTTTCTTTTTTCCTTTTTTGTTTGTTTTTCTTTCGTTTTGTCGTGAAATTCTCGGTTTCACCCGAGCTGCAGGAACCATTCAAGGCTGACGCGCTTCAGTTTCCGGAACTCCTCCGAGTCCATGTCAAAAAGCTTCTGTCGCACATCGTCTAGCACGCCGCGATCTCTTCGGCACATCCATCCAAGTTCTTATCCATCGAGACCTTTCGGCGCCTGTTGTGTACTAAAGTGTTGGGAGCGAATATGGTGAATATCAAGAACATCGGTAAACGGCCCTGCACGAGCCCAAGATTCGTCGCTCTTACGCCGAGCCTCCTCGAGCAGGACAATACCTGCTTCATGTCCTGGGTTAGTAAAGCCAATGGCGTCCGCGTGAAGCTTGTCATGGTGTAGTAACAGCGACACGTTTATTATTGCTCTTCGTAATGCGAGTGCTCCGCTGGAAACGCGGTTAGCAACAAACAACGTCGGCAAAAGTAACGTCAATACAGACCGTTACGTTGAAATGCGTTTGACTGCGTTGCGTCGGCAAGCGGCAGCGAGCCACCGGGTCGTCCGTGCTTCGTGTGATGCGCGGCAACGAATTCATTGAGTAGCTGGGCAAGAGGCACGCGAAGCACGAATGTCGTAGTCACGCGCAGTCGCAACGCGGCACAACGCTCTCAAATCACAGAGCGTCGCTACTGCTCACAGCGCCATCTACGCTCATGACCAACACATTCTACCGAAACCGACGGTTCACTGTTGACGTCACATCTGTTTTAAGAAAGGTTGCATTCTGGGAACGCCGGAAATCATTTTTGGTTGCGTAGTTTTATTTTATACGAAATAATAAGACACATAGAACTGTATACACAGACTGAGCCTATTGGCCAAATAAATAAAGACTAATAAAAAAAACATTTTGTAAAATGTTCAAAATCATTTTCATGGTCCCTTTAAAAAACGCGGCACGTGGCTTATTATTTTTATGCTTCTCGCTCCGTGATTCGCTCTCCGGCGTTCTTATTGGCTAAAGCCACAATCTCGTTTGCCGCTGAGATAAAATAAGATGCTAGAAATTTGCCATACTCTGTATTTATCAGGCTACCAGTGACTGTAGTTCCCATTTATCATCTGCTAAAAAACAAGAATCCTGATCTGGTGAAATGCTTGCGAAACATGCATACTCGAGAAATCCTTTGAGCAGAGATGTTAGTTCTTGGCAAAATATAAATAAGAGCTGTTTCCGAGCACGCACCACGAAACACGACCAACGAGAGAAAGTTTTGTGAACATCTCTTACACAACTTTAAAGAAAATGCTGAGAACTCACCGTAGCCGCTGAAACCGCGGATAATGTAACGGCCAATTATAGATCCAAGGGCTCCAAAATTCAACGATCTAGAAACAGAAATGCGGCGATCGAGTAAATCTAAAAAATATAAAAACATAATTTACCTTTTCTGATTATAAATCCAAACTTCGTTCCCCTTGCAGGAATGTCTCTGTCGTCACGCTCGTAGACGGTATTGTATGCCTATGTACTTCCTCGTGACGAGCGCGGAGTAGAAATATCTTTACTTTTCTATTGTCGCCTTAAAGATACATTGAACTCCTAAGCCACTTCTAAGTTTATGGATAGGGCACTCAGATTCGGGGAAAAAGAGAGTAATAAAAAGTGAAAGCCGTTTACAACTCCCTGTAACGCCGAATTAGAGCGCAGCTCTTGAGGAGGAGGAGGAGGGAAGGGTACTGGGGGGGGGGGTCAAGTGACCTTGGGTGGGGGTCACGTGACCTAGGGGGTCACGTGACGATGACGATGCCGATGACGTCATCAGTAACGATGACGATGCGGATACCGATGACGTCATCAGTGATGATGACGATGACGATGCGGATGCCGGTGACGTCATCAGTGACGTCACTGATGACGTCATCAGCGATGATGATGATGACGATGCAGATGCCGGTGACGTCATCAGTGATGATGACGATGACGATGCGGATGCCGGTGACGTCATCAGTGACGTCACTGATAACGTCATCAGCGATGATGACGATGACGATGCGGATGCCGGTGACGTCATCAGTGACGTCACTGATGATGTCATCAGCGATGATGACGATGACGATGCGGATGCCGGTGACGTCATCAGTGATGATGACGATGACGATGCGGATGCCGGTGACGTCATCAGTGATGATGACAATGACGATGCGGATGGCGGTGACGTCATCAGTGACGTCACTGATGACGTCATCAGCGATGGTGACGATGACGATGCGGATGCCGGTGACGTCATCAGTGATGATGACGATGACGATGCGGATGCCGGTGACGTCATCAGTGATGATGACGATGACGATGCGGATGCCGCTGACGTTATCAATGACGTCACTGATGACGTCATCGGGGGTCACGTGACCCCGGGGGTCACGTGACTTGGGGTGTCACTTGACCTTGGGGGTCACGTGACCCTGGGGAAGGGGTCACGTGACCTTGATGTGACCTTGGGGAGTCACGTGACCCCCGATGACCCTTGGGGAGGGGTCACGTGACCTTGGGGTGACCTTGGGGTCACGTGATCTTGGGATGACCTTGGGGGTCAAGTGACCTTGGGATGACCTTGGTTACGCCGACGGCGACGCCGCTCAAGCCGGGAACGGGCCCCTAAGAGCTGCGCTCTAAAAGAAAGGTTTTGGGCGCAATTTTACCGCGTGCGTGGCGGAGTTGGCAACGCAAGCGGCTACTGTGCGGAAAAAACTGGGTTCAAACCCCGGTCAACCACGTTCGTCCTTCGAATACTCTGTACTCTTCTGAAGCGTTTCAGCTAGCTATCGGCTGTCATACAAAGTTCTGGTTTCTCTCCTATAAAACCAGCAGTAACGGCCTGTTTCTGGCCAGTCGCCGGCTCAGGATGATGGACACATTTTTTTGTGTGTATGCACAGGCTAGCGTAATTAAATAGGTACATTCAGTTTTTATTTATTTGTTTATTTGAAATACTATCGGTTCTACACAGAACCAAGATAGGCACGTGGATTTACACAACACAGAAATACGCGCTCAACATGCACAGCTCAATAACACGTATACAACACAAGGATGAAATGACAACTCTAGGTACTACTGGCTGAAATCTGAAACCAGGGAACTTAACTCTTCTCGAGTTCCACTGGTCACACGACATGTGCTGGGAACGCGTTCCATTCTCGCACTCTTTGCGAAAAGAACGAGTACCCAGGACAGTCCTTGGAAAACTTCTCCTCTCCACATGCCGACTATGCTTGTTGCGGGGCTATATACGCGGCATACCCTCATTGTCATACTGTTGCCTATTTACAAAAACCAGGTTATGTATTATGTTATAAAAAAAGATTAAGCCGCTTCTACTTTCTCCGTACTTGTAGCAGGGTAGATTCGCCCTATTTTGAAAAGATAACACCGAGTTTAGCCGTCTACAGGAAGAGAAAACAAAACGGAACTCGCGCCGTTGTAGTTGTTCCAGATATGAAATTATATACTCAACATACGGGCCCCAGACTTCACTTGCGTATTCCAGTAGAGGCTTTATTAGCATCTTGTATACTTTGAGTTTTGTTCCTGAGGAAGCGAGTTTAAGAGATTACATTATTTTTGCATTTTTCGGAGGTGATATTCTCGGGAAAAGGGGGAGGGGGGGGGGGTGCTGGGTAGCGTTTACGCACACTTAATACTCTCATGGACATGACAATGAACACCCTCCGTGAGCACCACGAACGTATGCAAGTGTTTGAAGACGAGACGAGTGATGGACAATGACCAACGACCACGAGGCCCGCGTCAAACGACGGCGAGCTGTGAGCTACGACGACTACCTACGATGGCACCTTATAACGACGACTTATCAAGACGACTTACGACGATGAATTACAAAAACGACATACGACGACGACTTATGACCTACGACGACGACATATGATGGCAAGCTAAGAAGACAACGAGGTCGATTATGAAGTCATACGACGACAAGCACGAGCTTCTCACGATAATAGCAACAACAAAAAAGGACCTTACGGAACCGTAGCCGTTATTAACTGTCATAATTTTAAGATCATTTTATTTTCTTTCGGGGCGCATATCCTCTTTCGTTTGCTTCTATTTTATAAGCACCGGGCGGCTGCTTCTTAAACAGGGTGTAATGCCACGTGCGTGATCGAGTTGGCAACGCAAGCGCCTGTCACAAGCTTACCTCGGCAAACCTCACTCATGAGGGCCCTCACTCACCCTCACTCACACTCATCTTCACAGGTGAGGTGAGGGTGAGTGAGTTTCTGAATCAGGAAAATTCATGAGTGTGAGGGTGAGTGAGGGCCGTGAGGGCTGTGAGGGCTGTGAGGACCGTGAGTGCGTGAGGGCCGTGAGGGCGGTGAGTGCGTGAGGGGCATGAGTGGTGTGAGGGCCATGAGTGCGTGAGGGGCGTGAGGGCGGTGAGGGCCGTGAGGGCGGTGAGTGGCGTGAGGGCGGTGAGTGGCATGAGGGCGGTGAGCGGCGTGAGGGGTGTGAGGGCCGTGAGGGCGGTTAGTGCGTGAGGGGTGTGAGGGTCATGAGTGCGTGAGGGGCGTGAGGGCCGTGAGGGCAATGAGTGTGTGAGTGGCGTGAGGGCCATGAGTGAGTGACGGGCGTGAGGGCGGTGAGTGCGTGAGGCCCCCTTCATACGAAGCAACTTCCTCAGCAATTTTGGTGTTGCTGGTGAGTTGTTCCCTAGCTTTCCCTAGATCACCGTGCCCTAGATCGACACAAATTGCTGAGATCGGGTCCGGCTCGAAACAAGCGGGCAACTGGGAGGAATTCAAAGACATTTGAAGCGGCTGCATCTAATCAGGGGCGCGATATTTTCACGTGATACCTCATGCCGCTGATGATGACAACAAAGGACTTGGTTCTGGTTTGAAATTTATTGCTTTTGGAAGTAAACCGTTTCAGAAAGATGCATTAGTATTCTCAACGAGATTTACATGCATAAAAACACGTTTATGGCTTGTAATTGCGTGTCTACGTAGTGCAAGAAAAATAAAATGTTATGATGATGACGGCAAATTGCAGCAGTTGGTTGCTGTGTGTGAATGCGGGCGGCCCGTGTTGCTGGTGTTGCGACGTCAAGTTTCTGGGCGAAACTGCCCCATCTGAAGCGGGCCTGAGTGGCGTGAGGGCCATGAGTGCGCGAAGGCCGTGAGGGCGGTGAGTGCGTGAGGGGCGTGAGGACCATGAGTGAGTGAGGGGCGTGAGGGCCATGAGTGCGTGAGGGGTATGAGTGCGTGAGGGCCGTGAGGGCGGTGAGGGGCGTGAGGGCCATGAGTGCGTGAGGAGCGTGAGGGCGGTGAGTGGCGTGAGGGCCATGAGTGCGTGAGGGGTGTGAGGGGTATGAGCGCGTGAGGGCCGTGAGGGCGGTGAGGGGCGTGAGGGCCATGAGTGCGTGAGGGCCGTTAGGGCGGTGAGTGCGTGAGGGGAGTGAGGGCCATGAGTGAGTGAGGGGCGTGAGGGCCGTGAGGTTCAGTGAGGGTGAGTGAAGGGCTGAAGGTGAGTGTGACTGTGAGGATGAGGGTGAGTGAGGGGCTGAAGGTGAGTGCAGCTGTGAGGGTGAGGGTGAGTGAGGGGCTTAGGTGAATGTGGCTGTGAGGGTGAGGGTGAGTGAGGGCGACCTAAAATGCCGACCTCTGGTCACAAGGTCTAGAGGGGTTCGAACACCGACCGACCCGGTTCGTTCGTTTGTAATTTTGTACTCTTCTAGAAAGTTCCACCTTGTATTCCGTTGTCATTGCGTGTCCCGGTATCTCATGTATAAAAGTATTCGTAAAGGGGTATTTACAGGGGCAAAATATTCCTCGCTTTGCTCGCCGGGATGGGAATCAGGTGGTAACAATGTCACGCTTTTTCGAGGAGGCACGCTGACAAAAGGAAACTTTCCTAACGGGTTGGGGCAGCTTGTGCTAGAGCTGCACAAACAGTCCCCGCGTTGGCGCGGAATTTATTCGCAATTGGCGGGCATTTTGTTCGCGTGTATGGCAACTTTACTGGTTTTGCTAAGTGGGATACCGGCGGTAGCCTCAGGATCGCCTAAATCATTGTGCCTTGCGCTGTTGCCCATGTCGTCCGAAGCACCTGAAGGAGTCTTCAATATTCATCAATGTCGTTTTCAAGCGGCTCCTGGTATGACAGCACTCGAAGGAAAAAGGAGCGGAAAAGAAAGGAAACTTTGCATTACCTTCCTGTGACGTGTGAACTGAGGAAATAGACCGATCTCACTAAGCGTTCGGCGCATGCTTGACGCCGCCGTTGCTTTAGCTCGAAGGAGACCGGTGGCCGTGCTTGCGAGGGGTTGTGCCGTCTCGTGCTCTACACGCGCAGAACTCCAGCGGGGTTGTTATACGTGCAGAGAGCCTGGAGTTCCCTCGATGCGTTGCAGCAGCGCTGGTGTAGTCAAACTGGCTGGTGAGATCGGTCTATTGGTGCTGTTCCTTTCTTGAGCTCAATTTGTATGAAGCCACTTCTATCGGGAGTTCCAAAAGAGGAAAACTTTTCCCGATCTCCTTGATTTCTTTTTTTTTGCAATGAAGGAGCGTTGGTGTACGTGGTGTAGCAACACGACTGCAAAGTGTTCGTGTGATTGCCTGTAAGAGGATTATTACTAAACTGCATTAATGTGTGGCTCTCGTCGGTACAATTGACGAGGGGCGTATTCACCACCGCTACCTGATCAAGATTGCTCGTTACCCGGTAATAGAACAAACAAGACCTCAGAATAAAAATGTGAGAGATTTACGTGGGGGAAATGGCCTCCGCACTAAAAGAAATACGTGAAAATTGTCCTCCCTTCTCAAGAGAGGAAATTTTCTCCTTTCCGTAAAAGTCAAGAGGAAATTTCCTCTTGATGTTATACTGAATGTCTTCACGCGTTTGACCGCTTGACTCGTTAAATTTCTTGACTCGTTGGATCATTTCACCCGATTCGCTACGCTGTAAACCGATGATACCTTTGATTTATACTGCTTTTCGCTATGGGTGTAAGCAGAAGAGAAACTTTACAGGAGCGAGGGCAACGTTGTGAGCGTGCCTTTTATGCACGCGCACTTGTGAAGTGAATGCACTAAAAAACAAAATTCTTGTGCTTGTAGCATCAGCTTTGCTCACTGTTATCGTGAAACAAAGTAGCTGTTGGTGACACGTTCCCAACTCGTCGTATTTTCAAGTCAAACGGTGGCGCCGATGAAAAAAAATAAATGTGCGAGCAAATCGCGTGTTGTAATACCGGGACTCGATGGCTCGCAGCAGGGCTCACAGCTGCAGGGATAAGCCAAGAGTCAGCAGCTAAGGCAATAATTTAAGTTGGCCAGAAACCGCACCAATATGATGATACGTTCGGCGCAGAGAAGAAATTACAAGAATAAATATTGTGAATCACATCGTGACCTTCTCAAGACATGGAGCCTTATAAACGAAATCCGCGGAATTCCTGTTAGCGCAACCTCCAAATTGGAGTTTTTTTTGTTTTTGTTTGACGCAATGCATTTTTTAAACAAATTCAATACGTATTTTATTTCCTCTTCGGTGGCAGTAAAAGATCAAGGAGAAATAACTTTAATATTACAGAAAAGCGTAGCTCTCTTGGCTTTCCTTCCGTTTAAGGTAGCGATGTGGGCTTCTTGGCTCATTCTTAAACTCAGCGCAGAAACAAAGACGAAATAGGCGAGTGCACACAAGTCAAGCGCTGAATCTCAACTGAAGTTTTTAATGGAAAACAAAGGCCAAAATAAACAACAGCAAAAAACATCAAGGCCCAGGAGCACTTGCCCAGGTGACTAATTTTCCTGCTATGCCGATAGATCGAAGTCGGGCTTACGCAATGGTATTTTTTTTTATTTTGACTGCGAATGCCTCTAGGTACACACGTAGAGGCCTCACTGTGGGTTCCTTCGTTGACACATAACATTTCTGTCTCATGTATGGCACCGGAACTTGTCTTGAACAAGAAAAATGAAAAACTCAAGGTAGACCTAAGCACTTCGTATGAGTTGTGAATGCGAAAGTGTGCAAGCCGCTCGTCCGTTGCCTTTTTCGTCTGCCGCGTACTTTTCGTCGCCGGTCAGCGCGCGTGCTCCCCTGGTGACCTTGGACGCTCCGTGTTGACGGCGCGCTGATGGACACGCAGCGCCACAGGGTGAGCGGTCGCGGAAACTGACGAGCGCAGCGGCCAATGGGAGCCAGGTCGACGCGCGCCAGCGAATGGAACCGAAGGCGATCGCGGAAACTAGGTGCCGTTTTTGCGCTTCAAACTGATGACGTCAGCTCGCTTCATGGGACAGTTATTGCTTTCGCATTAAAAAGCTAAAAAAGTCAAATAAATGTACTTTGGCACTAACCAATGTGACAGAGGAAGACCATATAGGCCCATGTAAGGAAACTAGGATCGTCAACCTTGGACCAAGTTAGTCCCTTTTCTTGCGTGTTGCCTGGAATTGCATGGCCATTGGCCCGTAACATTGCTAATTGAGCGCTCACGACAAAAAGTGGTTGTATAAACCTTGATGCTTGTTTGGCATGATTTGTGAAAGGATACGCACACCGACATTTAGAAATTGTAACAAAACGCTTTTCGTTAAAACACAAATTTGGAAAGAAGGCTCACTTACGGACTGACGTCGGTTCGTAAAAATGGGCTTCTAGTGTAGACCTCGGGAAGCACTGAAATTATTGAAAATTATTAATAAATTCACTGCTGGAGTATAATAAATTTGAATGCCATACGAATAAAATTGCCCAGGTACTGATATGTTGGGTCCGCCTGAGGTTGTGTCTCCACCCATCTGCAGAAAAAAAGAAAAAACAATTCCGCGCATTGTTCGATTATTTAATATTTGGCAGGCATGATGTTAAATAGAAAGACGCTAAAACAGAATAAAATGCGATTCGTTAGAGTTCTATAGTAACTGACAGCTTAAGAAGCGGAATGCGTGGCTGATTGTATCCACATCTTTGTTTTTTTTTTTTTCTTCTAATTCTATGGCATTTTATTGGCTAATCTCGAAATCTCATCTACTGCAACCACAATAACATGGCCGGAAATCACCACGCCCTGCGCTCCTTAATCTTTCAGTCATAATACAGGATTCGACAAGGATACAGAGGCCAGATTCACGAAACGATCTTACGCCAAAAATGTGCGTAAGACAAAACTTAAGAACAAATCCGTATTCACGAAACGAAATTTTCGTAAGTTTTGCGCAGGTTACGACGAAATCCTACGACAGCTCCGAAGCTGTCTTACGCACTTCTTACGATCAAATCAGCATGGCCGACAGCGTCGCTCGGTTGGTCGCGACATCCAACGGATGTTTATTTTTCTACGTGCGCTTCTCCCGCGTCCTGACTTCAAGCAGCAAGAAACAAGTAAAAAGTATTTGAAACAGACCACGACGAACGAACAAGAACGCTGGATCCACAGACACCCGGGAAAAACTCCAAGGGCCACGAGTACGGACTCCGACCGATCGGCAGATAGGCCTAGCAGGCACTCCGACTCGGCGCAGCGATGATCTGACGGTCCTTGGCGAAGACCGTCTGCCCACAACCGGCTGAATGGAATATGCCCGCGCGACCCTTGTGAACCCTTCCCGTATTATAGTTTGATAGCTGACCTCAATTCTAGATTAAGAGGTCAATCTCTTCCTCTTGTCATCTCCTTGTTTACCGAGGCAACGGTGACGAACGCTGTCGTCGAAAAGGGGCTCTCATCGATTCTATCTCTGTTTTGTGTGATATCAAGCTCAAATAAACGCCGTATGGATTACCTTCGCAACATGGTATGTACACTTTGTTATTAGTATTCCATTTTATTCTAACACGACTGCACCTCACTGTCGATCGCTGTAACAGTTCGTGGGTCGCAATGCCGGTCCAGCCTTTCTTCGCCGGGTGTCACGTCAGCATCGAGTTGCAATTGTAAAGGATCAGTCCCGAAGGTCTTATCAATTCGCGGTCCAACAGCGCAAATACAGCACTTCGATCAAACGCGCGCGTCCGCTCCGTAGTGTGAACAGGCATTTACGTGGCTCTTGCTTACACTGTCGTAGTTCAAACGTATCTTTTTTAACGTCGGCTCGCTCGTGCATCTCCGAGGCCGCAAAAAACGCCGCGGCAATTTGTTCCCATCTACGTCGCTCGCTTTGCAAACGACTGCGGGCCGTCTTTTACCAACGATGACAGTTGTGTTGATTTGGTAGCGATCGAGTTCGTAGCAGTCAATGGGGGTGGTTACGCATCCCGGCCTCGGCATTCGGGCGAGTTTAAATCGTGTTAGCGTCGACATATCACCGCACGGATACGAACCCCAGACCAGCGGTGGCCTGTGTTTGTTATGAAAAATCCACGTGCTCCGAACGGCTCCGAACGGCTCCGAACAAATGCCGAGCTCTCCGATTGGTTGTTCGTGCTGCCGAAGACGCCGTCGCCATAGCAACAGCACCGGTAAGTTTTAGTTTTTCCGTACGACAACGTCGCTTTCCTCCTCTCACTTAAGAACGCGTTCGTGAATACCGATTTCTCCTCTTCTTACGATGTTCTTAACTTACGAACTTCTTAGCTAAGTTGTCGTAAACTAAGAAGCTCTTCGTGAATCTGGCCTCAGGTCTTCCGAAGGTATTAAACGTCCTCGAGAAAGGAAGTGGATTATATTTAATGGAGCCTCGAAAACATATACGCGCCAGTGTTCCCGAAGAAAGTACTCAAAGGGTCTGGCATTTGGAAATTTATTCATCGATAAATGAAGATTACGATCGCTCCATTTCAGCCGCCGAAAGAGAACATGTTTTGCAGCACCGTCACAGGTTGCTTCTTTGCAATTGCTCACTTCGATCCGCACTGTTTATTCGTCTGCATATATTATTTCCCCGTTCTAGATCATGTAAGACGATAAAACTCCAATTTTGTAAACGTTCGAAAGTTGATAAGATGGACTCACACAAATTAAAGGTTTTAAAGTTTGGCTCACACACGTGCCATTGAGTGTGACCGAGAGTGTTCCAGCCTGCTTGTTATTGTTGCAACAAGAAAATACTCTAACCTTTAGGATATCACCGGTAAACTTCCGATCTGCGAACGTTTCCCAATTTTCATTCCCAATTATTTTACTACGTGTCTGAAATTGTTAGGGCAAGTTTATAACTAAGCCAGCATTTCTCATGTTACTATGTAGATTTCATCTAAAAAAAAAAAAATTAATAAATTTCAGTCCACTCCAGGAAATATACGCGGAGGTCTGCAATATTCTGAGTCTATTCGACAGACGTCGCCCGTTTGTTCTATCGTCGTAAGTAGTCCCACGTGCACTCGAACGCAAAGGTGTGAACCAGCCTATAACGAAGATGCTAGCGAAATTATATATATAAAAAATAAGTTTCGCATTTTAATTTCAATTTCCCGCACTCATGTGCTCTCATTTGGCGCATTTAGCTTGTGAATGACACGACGTTGCTGATTAGGCTGGCGTCTGAAAACGAAATTTCACTTTTGTGTTTATGCAGCATGAGTTCAGTCTGGCTTTGAGGTGCGGCGACACTGGCTCAAGGTGTAAATGAAAACATTGGCCAGGTCAGTGCCATGGCCGCTCGATCTGGAACAAAGTGCGGCCCGCCAGATATACCGCAAACGCTTAGAGGCGCCTAGTACTCCGGGCGACCATCGCGGTGCTCCCGGTCGTACCTGTCGATGACAGCTAAATAATATCAGCTGGCGGAGTTCTGCTTCCAGCGGTCCATCACGGGCGCTGGTTGGTTTGTTCCGTAATATCTCGTATAATCTCTTTACGTATAACATAGTAATCTGAGGGAGTTTTCTTCTCTTTCTCTACTGTGTTTCGGTAACTTCCGAAACGTTTTTTTCTGTCCATTTCTTTCGGGAGTATTAAACGTCAGTTGTCAGTTAGCTCTATTTTCTCTCTCCCTCGTATTTCCTTCCTCGTCGTTTTGCGCTTTAATTCCTCTACATTATCTCTTCGCCGCTACACTGCAGCGTGCGTCCGCTGAATCACCCGGAGCTTAAACGACTACCAGCGCCAACTCGGCCTGTAGTGTAAACGGATCTATCTCGCCTTTTGCGCAGAAGCGTGATGTGACTTGTCGTACTTTGTTTTTGATCGGGCGGCCATGGCAGTACCGCTGCTTGCCTGGGTTATTTAGTATGTATCCCGAAGTAGTGACCGCATGGCGGTGCGCCGGTACATCGAACGCACGCCGGTACATGGAAATCGGCAGTGGTGTGGATCGAAACAAGTATCCCTGGGTTTTGCAGTGCGAGCTATTGCTCCACATGCTCAGAGCAGCGGTGTACTAACACACTCGGCAATAGAGCATGCAATGGTGAAGTCTCGCTTTTTGATTTGTTTCTGATTGCGCTTATCGGTTTGAAACTGTGAAAATTACTTTGTTAATTGATAAGAAGACAACTGGAGCTAGCGGCGCCTAGTTTGTGAAAGTGATAGTGATCCTTGGACCATGAGGGAAGCACTACAGCACAGTAGCAAAGTTTTACCATGGAGGCGCGCAGTGTGGCACAGTTTAGTTGTTTATGTGGTGAATTTACACGCACTTAAATATTATTAAATATTATGTATAGTACCTACAAAATATAGCAGGTTTCGCTATCTTACATTTGGAAAAGAAAATACCTGCATAAAAAGTTGGAAACATTTTGCTGAATTCTAATATGCATCGTGATCTTTTGTCCAATTGAATGTACCTAGGGTTGAGTTGGCTTACCCAAAATCGTTCTGATGACCAAAAGTTTTCAACCTTCTCAAATTCCTGCTGACGTCTTCTTTAAGCACATGTCTGATTGCCTCAAAAAAACTTGCTTTTTTCAACTTTGGTGTCTGGAATGATTAAATGTAGTTCATTCTGTGTCAGTTCCAATAAGTTTGGCCACCAATACAAGTCATTCTCAAAATTGATTTGCAATTCCAACTGTTATAACCTTGCTCTGTTTATTCAGTGTTATTTTATTTATAAGTTTATAATTATTATGAGTGTTTAACTTACTGTTATTTTGTTCATTTTATATCACTGCAATTAGTTTTGTGTTTCACTTATTCATGTCATAATTTATTTTCTATTCTGACTGCTGTAAATTTGTTTCATTATTATTGCTACCATTAACAGGAGGTCCCTTTCCAGTCTCTGACTCTGGGACCTCCTTCTGTAATATTTCTAATGTATTTACCTTTGATCTACGCACAATAAAACCAACCTGATGAACCTGATTCCGCTTGTTGATCTCTTCGTGGTAAAGTGGAACACTACGTTGCACTCGCAGCGGGAACAATGTATTGACGCATTTTCACGTTCTACTTTAACAAATATGCCGATCAGCAACATATACCTGCGGTTTTATTTGGTTTACTCTCTAAGAAAAAAAGGAGGAGAAAGGTAGCAATAGCGACTGTTCCGCCCTGTTGCGGACAAGTTGACAAGAGAACGGAGGAACGGTAGTTCAGATGAAAGGAGGAGGACGTGTTCCTCCTTGTTGAGTTGGCGCAGGGGTAGTACATCGCGCTACTCACCAAGTGGTCAAAGGTTCGATCCCCAAAGGAGCGTTTTTTTGTTTTTGTTTTTTTTCTAAAGTTTTTATTTTTATTTTTATTTACCAAAACACACATAAACAAACCCAGACCGATGAAAGGAGAATTAAAGTCCTTATTATTCGCCGAGTCGTTTTCCTCCTTCTCCAGGCAGACCGGAGAAAGCTTTCGCCCTCCCGACTCATCTTCTTTCGGTTTCGTTTTTCGAGCACATCCCGCACGTTGTTTAATAAA